CTACGTATACCGTACCGTACCTACTACGTTAGTACGAGTATGCAACTACTTACCTACTAAGACACTCCACTGTCTAGCTGTCTCTGCTCTCTCTCTCTCTCTCTCTCTCTCTCTCTCTCTCAGCTGATGGGAAGAGGGTGGTGCATAAAGTTGACCTTAAATTTGAAAGGAGCACTTTAGTTCATGAGAATGCTATCACCAAAAAGTGAGCTCTGCCCAACTTTCTTACCGTCATTTAACTTACCACAGTTCTACTTTGATTTATGCAATTACAAGCTATGATTTTGCATTTTCACTATTCTTATTCAAATAGTTTACAATGATGAGAAACCATGCCCATACTCCAGCCATTTTTGGAGTTGAATGAGCATTCTTTGTTGCACATACCATGAGAACCATGTTCAAACTAATACAATTGTTTATAAATCAATGCAATTATTGACAATTCAATGCAATTGTTCAAGTTTAAGAAGTATGTATCCTCATATTGCAAAGATGCATACTAATCACTGAAATTATTACATGGATTTCAGCTTTAATGTTATAATGGATTATCCACTTATCGTTGACCCAAAAAGAGTTATCGATGGAAGACCGTAAGTTCTCTGAAACTTCCATTGCAAAAAGAAATGGAGCTTTGAATTCTTACCTACTCAAAAAGGACTGGAAACCACAAATTCCTCATGAGTTCTCAGTGCAGGTTAATAAAGTTTGAGAAGCATCAGAAAGCAAGAATTGGAATAATTCCGCGCTATGGAGATGTGAATTCCACAACTTGGTTTGATGTGGAAACACATTGCACTTTTCACATCATAAACTCTTTTGAGGAAGGAGATGAGGTGAGCACCAGAATATGACTCTAATTTTTGCTACATATCAGAAAACAAGCAACAATTAGATAACGATGCAATGCGCAACTACATCCATTAACTTTATAATTTTTAACTACCAATATTCACGTTTCATTTTTCAATAAAACAAGGTTGTGGTAAGAGGATGCCGGGCTGAAGGATCCACCATACCGGGTCCTGATCTTGGTGTCAATAAAATTGAATGGTTTCGCAGAGCTTTTTTGCCAGTTGGAAGAGAAGAAGGATCTGATCCTTCTATTGATGGAATATTGTTCACTCGTGTTTACGAATGGAGATTGAACATGAAAATTGGTTCAGTAAAAGAAGGATATCTCACTGGATTAGAGGTCTCCATGGATTTCCCGGCTATCAATAACAAATTCATGGGTCTAAAGAACAAGTATGGATATACCCAAGTTGTGGATTCCATTGAAAGCTCAAGAATCGGTAACATTGGGCCTTATGTGTGCGTGTGTATATCATCCATCTATTTGATATTAGTGACTGATTTTCCTTTTTCACTGCTAGGGTTGGCAAAATATAATATGTATGCAAAGCTAAATTTTGAGGAACTTGAGGAATCCCATGTTCAGGTATATCATATTAAGCGATTTAACAAGGGCCCCTTTTTTCTTTTGTCAATTGCTATAGCTTGTTCCATATCAATGCTTAATACAAACTTTCACAAAGAAAATAATCAATGGAAATAAAATAATCAATGGAAATGCAGGGTGCTAAGGACAAGAGGATTAAGGTAGAATATCATAGGCTTGAGGAAAACCAGTATTGCAGTGGGGCTGTATTTGTGTCACGACCAGGGGGCAGTGATGAAGATGATGGATGGATAGTTTGCTTTGCTCATAATGAGAATACCAATATCTCTGAAGTATGATTTTTTTTTTTTTGGACTGACAACCCTCTCTTAATTTTCCTTCACTCATCTTGCTTTCCTTCCTCTAAGAAGAAAAATAAAAAATAGAATGCTATAACATTGAAGACCACAAGGTTTCGGTCTCTAATAGTTTGGTTGTTGTACTGCAGGTTCAGATTATAGATGCAAAGAAGTTCACAGAAGCACCTGTCGCAAAAATAGCGATACCATGTAGAGTTCCTTATGGTTTTCATGGAACTTTTGTTTGTAAAACCAAGAACGATTTCTCCAAGTGTATGTAGAAATCAAAATCATAAACTGCAACCATAGCTCCAAAGTGATTGTTTGGAACAGATTGTCATGAATGGAATATATTGTTAGCTGTCGAAAATAAATGAAAAGAGGATCAACACACAAACCATGTATCCATGTAGTGCCATGTATCCATCTAGCTTTTGCAATTCATATTTTTCTTCATCCTGTACACACCTTTCTGCTCTGATACCAATTGTATAGCCCTCGGGAACCCCTCGCTTACAAAACATGAAATCCCAAATACCAGGATCCCACCCAAGATCGTGTACACAATTGATTAAATGCGAAGTAGAAGAATACAATTATAAATCAAGTACAACGAATAAAGCAAATATAAAAAGCATACTATAACAATACATGATTTATGTGGTTCACCACATAAGACTACATCTACGGCTTCGACAAGTAAAAAACCACTATCACAATGAAGATTACAATTTTGGATTACAAGAGAGCTCTCTCTCTAAATATCAGTATAAATCTCTCACTGATCTACTCTTCTAAACCCGTTCTCCCGATTGCACAGCACCGTGGATCAATATCTTTTTTCCCACCAAAATAGTACTACAACAAAGATAATTTCGAGAGCAACTGAGAGATTTACTTTCTCTAAAAGTGGAAGTCTTACCAACCCAAAACCCATGGGAATACCGCATCTCTTGGACCTCATGTCTCTCTCTCATGGAAGCCTATCTTCATCTTGGAGATCCCTTACCATAACCCTCAAAAGGGTCACCTTCAAAATGATGAGTATTATGTCTTCATTGACTCCCTTCTATAAAGATCACTTTTTTCTAGCTGCCTAAAAAAATTCATTTCCTTTCTACGGATGAGTATTACATCTTCATTGACTCCCTTCTATAAATATCATTTTTTACTTGTTTCCTAAGAAAGTTCATTTCCTTTCTAGCTTTAATATAGATATGGGAATTTGGCTATCACGAAACCCAACACCCCTTTCTATATTGGGGGTTTGATAAAAATAATTGAGCTCAGATTTGTCAAAAATAGCCTTGAGCCAAAGTTTTCATATGGGCTTGTCTTTGTAAAAATGATGAAAATCTAATAGTTATTTCATCATTTCAATAATTTTATATGGATTTGGATTTTTAATGCTTGGTTTTTATTTTCTGGTGATTTTCTTGAAGAAAAATTTCAAAAATTTGCATTTAGCTTGTTCTTCCTTATTTCACATCCATTATGAGAAATTTGTCTTAAAATCCCTTTCTTTGAGCCCTCTACATAATTTCTTTTTGGACTGCAATCACTTTTGATAGAAATCAAGTTATGAAGTTTGTTATTTTTTTATTATTATTATTTCAGCTAAAATCTGTCAATAATAGACTCGGATCTGATAGTCAAATGATTTACAATCTATTTTACTACTTTTAAAAAAATCTAAATATTCTTTCAACAAAAATATCAATGAATTTATGGGTTCCTTTTTTTAATTAAAAAGAAAAATCAATTTAATCTTTTTTTTCACTCTGTTTCTTTTTTCTGTTTTTTTTGGCAGCAAATCAGGTGATACGAATGAGAATCACTTATCCAACTCAATCTAGGTGGGGACCGAGTTGTGCACAATTCTAGTTTTGAAAAAACTGCTTTAAAACAACAAATTTGGGACAATGTTAAATCAAACCATCACTTCTTTTATTTTTATGGTAATCACAAGTTGGTGCAATTCAAAAGTCCCTATGGACCATGCCTTATCCACCCAATTTTGAAAGGCTTGAACATCTAGCAACCTATTATTGAGAGATACAACTACACATTCTCTCTCTCTCTCTCTCTCTCTCTCTCTCTCTCTCTCTCTCTGCAACAACCGCATCACCCCCAACAAGCCTAACTTGCTAACAAGAATCTTTTGGATATAAAGTGTTTATCTTCATTCCTAATCTTAATAAATAAATAAAGAAAATAAATAAATAAAGAAAACAAGAGAGTCCCAATCTTAAATGTTTAACGTGAGTTCATATGTGTTTCCAAGTATATTAATTAATTTCAACTTCAACAATAAAATATTAAGGTATAGAGCGATTGATCTTTCATAATTGAATGGCGACATGAGTGAATCTCCTCCATAAACAACAATAGGCCTAGAGAATCATCTCTCATGTAGTTGGCCCATGAAAGCAACACAAGTGCTCAAAATTGAATTTTTCTTTCATGAAATTATATGTGATAAAAGTGGGTCAGCATTTTGTATTTTATTTCAATGAAATGTTAAAATAATTTTTTTTTATATTTAAATAACTGCTTATGGGACGATTGCACGATACTTTGTCTGGGAAATGAGGAAAAAAAAATTATTTTAAAAATCTTCAATTCAAATGCAAAATGAATACTAACATTTTCTTTTCTTTAAGAGTCAAAAGCTTTTTTAGATATATGTATGTATGTATATCATGAACAAATTTGTATATTATTTCACTGATGGCTCTTCATCATCCAATTGATTTGAGGGATCTAGAGCTTTTTAAGGCTACAAATCAAAACTTTTCTCGAGAGCCCATTTCGGAAACCATATCATCAGAAGGAAAAAAAAACAACAGAGATAGAGGCTCCTGGAGCTCAAAGAACGCCCCAAATTCATTGTCACCCCAAAGCAAGATCTGGGCCATCCAATTTAAAGAACGGTAAATCTAGGGTATTCTAATGAGCATTGGTTGATTTTGGCAATGCATATGTCGACTGGTCAGCAAACTTCCGAATCTCTTTTGGGCCCCTTTTGTCGAATGCACATGAACGGTCCAGATTGATTTATGCTCTAGATCGAGGCCGCCCAATGCATATAGTAAAATTACAAAGCATGAGACAAAAGGCTATCCACCAACCTAGTTGTTGATGATACTTAATTCAGCATGATAATTATCTTTGAAATGACAAATGAATGCTTTCGGAATGGCCGCAACTCTTAGATGGTTGAAGTGTTAGGTGCCACAACTTGATGTCTAGAATCTCATTTCTACCAAGTCTCAAGTTAACGATTAAAGAAATAGATGCTTCTTTTTGGGAGTTTACTTAATTAACTGTAAATGCAGATTAGAGATATAAATAATGCAATATAAATTATTTTTAAAAAATAATTTCCTCAAAATGCATAACATAAATAGGATGATAATCATATTTTAAAATCTACTTGATATGTTTTAGTATTTTTGTGCTTCTTAATTCTCTAAATGTGCTTCCTAATTCTCTAAAATAATTTTTACTTATAAGTAAATAACAGATTTATTAATATGATTAATAATAATGTTAAAGTTGATTATAGAATATTATAATTAAATATAAAAATATTATATAATAGGACCTTGAATGTAAAGATAGATCCAACAGATTCTCTCTTTCTATATCGAATATGCAAGTTTAAGACTAATATTTAATACATGTGCAACCCATGTGAATACCACTAGTACTTATTAAGTGATGTCTCGTGCATTTAGCGTATTATTAATCATATAAAAGTGTGCACTTCACCATTTGTAATCTAAACACATGTTACATTGCTATTATTAACTTTCTTTTCTTATTAGGAAAAGTTTGTGAAATTCATTACTTCTTATTCTCAAAGTCATTATTGACATAATTATATTTATAGTATCGTTGTTTGGGTGGCAGAAAATCACAACATGACATTTTGAATTCCATTCTTACTATGGATAAAAGAACCCTTTTTTACCGAACGGCTTAAACAAAAAAAAAAACATAATTGTAACATCTGAATATGTGTATGTGCATCAAGATACACATGCATGTATATAGATATTCACAAATCAGTGTTCGTGCATAAGTTAACACTCGTTCGCATCCACACATTCGAGCATGCATAATTATGTTTTTAGTTACTATTACATTGTTTTGCAAAACCCCAAACCAGAGTGGTTCGTGACAATGTAAGAAAAAAAAAAAACTGCAAAACAATGACGAATGACCATCACTCAAAGTAAATAGGTTGGAAAACGATAGCACAAAAGAACTTCAATATTTGTTGAGGTGGGCGCTATTATAATTATGTTCAAGGGTGAAAACGATCAATAGTTTCATTGTTGCAACTCTAAAGATCCAAGAAGACTCTCCTACATAAACATCTCTCAAAACCAAAATCACCCAAATATGTTAAATAGTCTCAAAGCCTAACTTCCAAATAAATATATATCCATATGCAGAAAATACACCCATAAGAGCTCCAAAGTTTTTAGAGCTAAGGAACATGTGGGCTTGGGGTCTACATCTGAAAGATAGTAAGTCATATCAACCATGTCCAAATAAAGCTTGTACATTTGTGGAGGAGCCGACTTTGTTAACATGCTCTTTGCATTCTTCTTGTCAATCTTATATTAAGAGATATCGCCATCTAATGTTATCTCATGGATAAAGTAGTATTCGAGATCAATATGTTTCGTCCTTTTGACTGCCACAGTAAACCACAGTTGGAATTTGTTGTAATTGTTCACATGACATGATGTTTTCTACTGTATTTACCTAGGAAGTGCAATACTATTCCCTTTCGGCATCTGTATTAAAGATAACATCGCTTGGAGTTTAGTGTTTGCAAACTCGTTTGGCCCAACTCGGAACCAGCCGATCATATCTGAATCGGATACTGGCCGATCTGATTTTGGCTGGTTTTGGTGGTCCGACCTGATATTTAAAAAAATAAAAAATATATAAAATCTAAAAAAATAAAAGATTTGTTTGTAATGTGTTTTTGAATGTCTTTTATCATTTTGACAAAGATTGGAAATTGGGAAGATTCTTGGCCATAAATATTTATTTTTACATTTTCCATTTTTTTTTAAATTCAAAAATACCCCTAGGCAAAATCCATTTTTAAAATCCAAATTTTCACTACTTTTCAACTTTATTTGGATGTGTTTTGTTTAATCATACTTCAAATATTATTATTTTTTTTTAGCATTTTTAGACCGGTCGGGACCTACTCGATTAGATCGGTTGAACCAGCCGGTTTACCAATTATTTGGTACTGGCCCCTAGCCAGTTTCGAAAGCAGATTCGATTTTTTAAACACTGGTTTGAAGTGAGCAACAAGAGAAGTATCCACA